ACACGTCAGTCGAGAAATCGGCAGTAACAAGACGACCGGAGACCTGACCATTCTCGGCACCCTCCTCCACCTACGTTTCCGAGCCCGACAACCCTCCAGTATGGTACGCCTGTGTGGGTATGAATAGGTGCGCACGTGCCAGCTCTCGGCAGGGGTGGGAAGACCGCGGTCGTGGCGTCCCCTACACCTCGTGCGCATGTGAACTCCTTGTCTGGATGAGAAGCACACGAGCTTTGCCCCCGCTTTCTCTCACCCGGCACACTCGGAATGTGTGAGAAGGCCACTGCCCTGATCACGGTGACGGGGTGGGCTCTGGACGCCTCTTCATCATCACGTGTCCGCCACGACTGTTTTCGCTTACTTGAGTGAAGTGAAGGACACACAGACTCACGGACCCAGGATGGGGATGGTGTGACCGAGTGATAGTGAAGATGCTGGTGCCCTTTACATTCTCAGTTGCTGACCCTCCCCGCCGCAGCTATCGCATTTGCAGATCATCTCGCTCTCTCACACACTCAAAGTCGGGACTCCCAAGTCCCGCCCCTGAAATTGTCCCCATCACTGCACTCTCCATCGGTTATCTAACAGACACGACAGAAAGTCCTCCATTACAGACAGGAGTACTGCACACGCAGCACTCATTTTATATTGTATACTTGCACGGGGATTATCATCAGAATAGTTTTTGTACGCTCCTGCTACTCAACTGTTCACTGAAATTTCGAGTCTGACCCTAAAAGTCATCTCCCGGAGACTTAGCTCCATGTCCTGCACTGAATATACTTCCTAAACTATCTTCCTGCGTTGTGGTTTTTTTTTTAATAATATAAAAACAAGCATGAAGCGCAATTGCAATTTTTTCCTCTTTACATTTTTTTGAGAACACCAGGTCTCCCTTTTTAGGAGACCCTTATTCCAACCATGTGCCATCGTTCAGAGGGACCGGGACACATCCGTTTCCAACCGAATGCAAAACCAAAGAAACCCCTTTGTGGAATATCCTCTCGCGTCACCGGACATTATGCGCCCCTCTGCCACGCGGCAAGGACAATAACAGCCGAGTCGGTTCCTAGGGGCGAAAAAATCATCCGTTTCTCCTGCAGCACGAAGTACTTTTCGGGCAGCGGGTATTTCAATGTGAGGTTACTGGGTGTTTATTCGCGCTCAGAATGCAAAAGCACGACTCGAAGGACTTGGAGAATGAATACGATTTGAAATAACAACCGGGTCGTGTCACAGATCCGGTCTTGACATGGCAATCTACGGTCATTTGGCTCACGTTCACCTCATTCTCCCATTATGCATAACTTAGGAGTCTATTTCATGCTGTGTAGTTGGCTTTTTAATGCCTTGTTCGTTGATTAGGCGGCTTGTTTTGAATTACGACATTGCTGTTTTCCACATCGATCGTCTGAACAAATTCAACTTCCCCGTATTTCCTGCACTCATCAATCTTATTATCCAGCAAAGGGTGGAAATTGAGAAGCCATCTAGGAAACCGTGGACGTGTAGTTGTTCACCCTACTTTTTGAAATATACTTTTTCCGTGTAAGTCAGTCGGCATGTTTGGCTTCTCGCAAAAGCGGTCACGCAGGGAAGTAGTAACTCAGGCCGACAGCCCCTCAGGAAGGCAAGAAATTGACCGGTTCGATTGCACTGGTTTTAATTGCCGTCCGAATATGAGGACAGTCGTGGCAAAAGTGCTGCCCCCCCCCCCCCTCCTAGGTCAGTGAAAAGTCAAAAATGGGCGGTGCCGCCTACGAAAAGAATGCACCAACCGACAGTCTAGAAGCATAGCTGCTGGAAGGAACCTGAGGCTACGGTCACTTTCTGAAAGCAGGTGCGAAGAGGTCTTATCTGGAGAATTAGGTACTTGCGGAGAGATGGGGCTTGCAAACCCTGGGCGGGCAGGATGCCTGATCCCGGTAAGGGGATCGGAACGACATTGCTCGAACGTTCTGCAATTAAAGGGCGCAGTGGCGGATGCTGCGGTAGATTTTAAATTCAGGACACCGTTTTGATGGTGACCTCTTTCTCTCTCTCACACACACGCACATGCGCGCACACATTTGTAGGCATCGCGTGCGCAGGTATGCATTCAGGGGCTGTCAGACCGTCGTAACAGGCAGAGGCGCCGGGCGTCCCCGCGCCGTGCGCTAAGGACGCATGCACACGGTGGACCGGCTGCTGATAGACTCATCAAACGACGACGACGACGACAACGACGGCGAGAGAAACAACACACATGGAGGCAAGAGGTACTAAGGCGGCGCGTCAGTGTGGCGGAGTGTTTACGCACACGGTTGACACGCGAATGACACGGCCAGAGACAAAAGAAAATCCAGAGCCGACGTCTGTTCGGGGCTGCTGCTAATCGTTGTTAAGGCAGAACGCATCATCGCCTTAAGTGTAGGTTCGGAGGAAGTGAGGTCTACGTGGGCGACGCAGCTAGGCCATTGACGATGTCCAAGGCGGACCGAGTGTAGACGTTTTTACGCTTTTGCAAGTTATGCGGTACTTGTGTAAAATGGACGCGTAGAGCGGTAGAATATTTACTAACTGTATTGGCTGCTACTGCGACGACATTGTTCCACGACACAAAAGATTGGGGCATCTTTTTACTCACATTTCTAAAAGGGCCGCCGTTATCGTAAATAAATTATTCATTGACAGCACTCTTCCTTGTCGCTTAATTGGTTTTATGTGAGTTTGGTCCAAACGCGCTTTCAGATAAGTACGCCATACGGCTGTAGCTGGTGGATGAAAGGAGTTGAGGGTAGGGGAGCGATTTGCGAGAACGCAAAGTCAAAATACGGACAGCAACAATAGCGAGGCGATCACAAGTGAAGTCGAATACAAAAGTGAGAAAACATTTTTGCCGTTCCAGGTCGTAGGGGAAAAGAATGGTATAATTGGCTGATTAAAGGCTGTTTAGATCCCAGAAACCTGATAGATAGGCTGAAAAGGGTTTCCAGTCAAGGACAACATCACAACGTGAACCCGCTTGACAGAATACAATAAGAACACGGAAATTAGCTTTTCATCTGTCAGTTAGATTTACGCAGAAAGACTGACAATTTACTGGATAACTCGGTTCCCGTAGTCAATACTGTGTGTGTGCGTATTTGGGTGACTGGCTCGGGGACTGGGAGTCAGGCACAATGGACCCTTCTTAATTTACCCTTCCGGGCACTCTCGCGAACGCGAGATCCTGGCCGCCACCTGCAACTTTTACTGTGTGGAAGCGTGGTATATTGAGCGCGGGAAGCAGGTCGCGTGGGCAAGCGTTTATCCCTGTCAGTCATTGAGTCCGAGCTCACCTTCGGCCGTCCTGACATTGTCTTACCATTGGGCCTGATGGGTAAGGGAGGCGGACGTGCGCTGATCTGCCTCACTACATACTAATTCACGCACAAGTCACCGGTACTGCGTACACTCCGTGGGACACATGACGGAGGTCGCAGCTCGCCACGGTCGAACTGTCCGATTTGCATAAATTATCTGCTTCCGAACATCGTCATCGGAGGAGACCGACGAGTGTGCAACCAGACAGGAATACGTTAACAGTTTGGACGCTAGGTCATGCCTGTGCTCACGCCGTACATAAAATCGCCTAAACTGCCTGGAAACTCTGGTGAGAGATCCTCCCGAAGCCGGTTCTGCCCGACAAGAGATAGTAAAATAACGGAAATAACCTCCTTTCTCCCTTAAACACCATGTCTCGAAATAGTTCAAGTTGGGTTCTCTGCTAAGAAGACCGAGATGGCCAATGTCGACTTCGTTGTCATATGATTTGAAACATTCTCGATCGAAATCGATAGGGTGTCGGCCCAGGATTCAATATCAGGCCTCCGCTCAGCCACGAATTTGCGGCTCGGGTCTGCCCGTCCGGGTGCTAGGCTAAGAACGTTCACTGATGAAGGAGCGCAGGCCAGAAATAGCCCTTCCAACCTCCCCAGTCCTTGTCGGTATAGCTTCTCTATGATCGACTGCTCATCGATACACGACAATCTGCATGAGTTCTAGACCAGAGTCCCAAGGTAAAACAAAACATCTGCGTTCTTTATGCAATAAGGTATGACAAGTGAATGTCGCTCTCCTGCAACTTTAAATTCACTGTGGCCTGGCATCAAAGGGAAGCAGCGATGGCGTTTAGAAGGAGAGTCACGCGGAAATGGAACTCTTAGGATTCTCAAGAGGCGTCAGTTGTTTTAGTCACTGCCTGTCCTCGAAAACTAAACCCTTAGAAGGCACTACTGTCATCTGCCACTTCCTCAACTGAACAGTACTGACCCGCCCGAAACTCTAGTTTAGTCATCGAGGCAAAACGGATGTCTTCCAAGTGGATCTGAGAGGGGACGAAGTGGAAACCGCAGCACACGGCGGGGTTTGCGTAAGTTTACTCAACGGCGGAAGTATTTGATACTTGTGATGCCAATGCCCCTAATGAGCGTGGTGTGTCATAGTGGGAACAGACCAAGCCCAGCACAGTTTATTTGCACTAGTCAGCCCCAGGCAAATTAGGGAGTAATTCCCCTCGGTGACCCGATGAAGCCCTCCATCTCACTTGATACAACACTCGTTGGCTGATCGAGCCTTGAAATTGGGAACCAGTGACAGTTTTAACCCAATAGTCATATTGATTATACCCCGGATGACAAATAAAGCGTTCCTTCCAGCAGATTTACATAAGAACTACTTATTGTATGGGGCTCCGGGGGTCTCATTTGAATGACTTCAGACTCTTACAGCAATCGCCGATTGGGGGGACGTACAAATAGCCTGAAATACGTTTACTCGACTCAGAAGGAAAGACATTTGGAGACGCGCTTTTGCCACTGGGGGAGTAATTGCCTGCCCCAACGAACTTAAGCCGGGAGCACAAAAGTAATACACACACAAACAGACTCTAAACAGGGAATGCGTGCAAAAGTAGAACAGAAACTCACTCGGCACAATAGAGCTCCCGGCCATAGACCGTGGCCTGGTTGTCCCGCGTATTATCTTCCATCAGCCATCTGGAATGGATAAAGTGGCGGCAGAAGTGGCTGCAGTCGATCAGTACTGGCGTAGTGAGGCGGGGGGCGGTCCTTGTTGGACTGCTGGTCCTCTATCACAAGCACAGGTTGGAGAATGCGGTCGCCGAATAGCGTTACCGCTGGCAACAGGGGATTAGAATGGCGCTGGAATGGCCAGGCGGAGCGGAAGGAGGAAAAGCCGGGTGCAGTTTCGGCAGTGGGCCCTAACTGTCGCCGAGTGGAGGAGCGGACTACGATGGGAGTTGGGGGAGGGGGGAGCGGGTTAGAGCGAAGAAAGTTGGCATGACCACCACGCGACTGGCTTCTTCCATGACTGACAGCAGGCGCACGAAGGATCGGTGGAATGGGATGGCCGTGAGAAGTAGAGGGAGAATGGGGCAGGACTGTAGAGCACAGAAAGGGATCAATGTTAAATGACTGCGGTTGAAGAACCCGACTGATGTCAGGCGCTGGTGGGGACTCCAATCGAGTCTCTTCACGACAGTAGGCTGGAGGGAAAGGTGGAAAGATCATTGGCGGTTCGCTCGGGGAAGGAGATGAGAGTACATACAAGAGGGTTGTGATGTATCGCGAACTGCCGTCAGCGCCACCGCCGTTGTTAATGTTGTTGACATCGAGTGTTGGCAGGAGCGAAATCAACTGAGACATGAGTTGTGCTGCAGCTGCCCGTTTCCGCGATGTCTCTGAGGTGTGCCGGAACCCCCGAGGACGGAGTCGTGATCTAAACCTCCGCAGTGCCCGGCGGACAAATGGACGCGACGGTAAAGACGGATCCTGAGCAAACAGCGTCTGCTGGCAGGTGCACGCTTCGTCTACTGGTTCCAACTGATTTCGTCCGCTGGGTGAAAGGAGCCCGGCGATGGTTTGGGCAGCAGCAAGAGCATGAATGCCCGTCTCCGCTTGCGTAAGAATGAAGGCTCGACGGCCGGGACGCGGCAAGAAGGGCTGCACAGAAGGGTGAAAATCCGGCGGTGGGATCTTGTAATCAAGAAGGGTCGGAGGTGGTTGGTCAGGTTCTACTGCTACCGCTAGGAGGAATTCAGCACCACCGGGGATCAAGGTGGCGCCCCGATTTCGGAGGTAGTTAATGGCCGAGAGGGGAGGAACTGCAGAGGGACAGACCTGACGACAGCAGAGTACGGCGCAGGCCACACTAACACAGGCCTCTAGAATGCCGATCACCAAGAGGAGGATATGCAGCACAACTTGGTGTAGACGCGACGGTTGAGTTTCTAACGAAAAGCGTATGGGCGTCTCACTGTCCCTAAGGAGTGGATACTTCATCCTACCTTCAAAGGCAAGGCTTTTATCCTGGCGAGACGGCGGTAGTAAATCATAATAAGAGGCAGCGGATGAAGCAGAGGACACGCTAGGGGCACTGAGGACTGAAAATGATGTTTCCGGACGCAGAAGCCCATCCTCAATTAGACCGGCGACCGAGACGGAGGCCAGGAGACAGGCAGCCAATGCAACCAGTACACAAAAGACCAAAAGGCTGATTAAAGTCCGATGGTTGCAACGTCGTGAGGTGAGGATGCCATGGAGGCCAGTAGCCAGCATCAGGAAGCCCGACCACAGACCCGTTGCCATCTGGTAAAGGAAGACCAGTTTCGTAACCGCTACGCCCGACAGTATAACTGAAGCCAGACCGCAGAGGATTTGGATCATACTCAGGACAAACAGGTTCTCATTCGGCATTCGACGTCCATTGAAGCGGCGAAATGGCTTACAAGGCAAAGCCAGAAGATAACGTGCAAAGGAGCATTTGAGGTGGTGTGACTTACCGCATTGTTTGCGTAAAGACGGACACAGATGCCAAAGGCAGGATCGGCCGCGTCTATCAGGCGTCAATGAGTCTTCATTACCTGCCGCTGTCCCGTCGCCCGTTGCGTCAACGACACTATTATTACCATCGCGTCTCCCAAGTCCACTCGACACAGAAACACTGGAGCGGTTAGGGAAGACAGTTTGATTCTGTGTCCGCTCATGCGTTTCTATAAAGACTGCAGCAGATGAAGGTCGCATAACACGGTTCACTGTGCACAGGGTTGCGGAGAGTGGCAGGGCGGTGTCCGTTCTCCGGATGTCATCTTGTAAAGTCAACGGCGAGAGCGGGAACTGATGCTGGTGATGAAGTGGCAGGACGGATGTCGCTGAGGGGCTGCACCCATCCAGCGAAGGATGGTTAATGGCGCGAGCGCTGACAAGGAGGGCCTTGCTGGAAAGGAGGCGCTTCAGTCGGCCACCAATGGGAGCGCGTCCACGACGCCGACGTCCTTGTCCGCGACCAGGTAGTCCACCGCCAGCAACATTTGTCTCCGGCGCTCGCAGGCGAAGAATTTCTGAGGAAGTAACCATTGAGGGCAGGTACACATGTCGGGTGGGTACCGAACGCGTCGGACCCGGGCCACTGAGAAAAGTCTGTCGGTTGGAACTCATTTTTGTTGGCTATGGTGACATTGTATAGAGGCATAAATCCTGGGAGAGAAGCCGTTCCTCACGGGGAGTTGAACTACAGAATTCTCCTCATGCAAGCACAGGACACTAGGGAGATGACAAAGACAGTAACGTGATTTGGCTAATTAGAAAAATCGATAAAACTTAACAAGCATACTTTGGCCGTGCGCCGATTAGGTGGCAAATTTGCCCTCGGATCTAATCTGTTTAGAAACATTTAGGGGGTTTGGAGGTTCTATTGTGTTTGCAAAATTGCGAGTTAAGTGGACGGAACCTGTGGAACAGAGTTAATACGCCTTTCTGCGAGTCTTTAGGCCAACATGTGCCTAGAATCCTTTAATGAAATCAAGGCATGCATTCGGACATATTCTCAATGGTAAGTGAAAACCCTCAGTTCCTGCCAAGGACGTGGTAAACAAACATGATAACGGCGAAATATCGATTTATACGGCCTCCTGGGTATGACTTCCAGCTGAAAACTCTCACTTGGTCGATAGGTTGCGCAAGACATGCAAATTGGTTTCGTGACCCATCCCAGGGAAAGGACGGAGATACGCAGAAGGCAGTTAATCCGCAGTCTCGAAGGACGGATAACAATGGAAAACGGAATCGGCTTAGGCGCCAGCCAGGGGTCATGATGCTGCCAGTCAGCATGGCACCCGGTACGGCATGTCAGCGAGGAATATGCAAATGGAGTTAGACAGAGGGAGAGGCCGCACTAGAGACCGTGAAACCTCCAGATATGTTGCACTGCGCACATACAGTAAATTACTCGCCAACTTGTAAAAAAGAAGCTAATTGAATGCTATCTGCTAGGGCCACCGCAGTACTGTTTGGGGATGCTGAAACGACCAAGCTTGAAGAGACAACCACCCGGTTTTTGGGCGAACATACAAATTCGCAGATTTTGCAGAGCGCGAGTATTTTGGCGTTCTGCACAGCCAGTTAGGGCATATAAACTGGCCACCCTTTCCACAAAAAACACCTTAAATCTCGAGAATCGGCAGGCACACAGGCCTGTGCGGGACAGTTTTTTACGCGACAGCATTTTTATATTCCTATTGACAATTTCGGACGTAATATAATTACAATCCGTATTGTGTGCAAGCTGTCGCCGTTGCCATCACACCCGGCAAACAGGTGCACACTCACAACTAATTGGGCTAGAATTAAAGGGCAGTTGACGGTTAAAGCATGGCTGATGTCGAGTGACATGTTATCCGGTGCTGAAAGTTTAACGTCCTATCGGTCATCAGAGACTGAAGGAAGTGTCTTAAAGAAAGGACTACAGCAAGGACCTTCTACTGGGACAGGAACCCCCACCCCGATTGTGCACTTAACTCGCACGGGATGTTAGACTAGGTCGTGTCGCTGGCGCCAGAAAAAAACGGATGGCTGCTGGAAAAGTTGGTCAAATGCGTCGAGATATCCACAGCCAGGCAAAGTGAACTATTGCCGTCGCCAATAGCGAAACGTGAAAGACTTAAGAACAGGAGCTGCGGCTGAACCTCACTTTCTGAGACCCACACAGGCAGGGGCCGGCATAGGCTGGAAAATCAGTAAGGGTGATTCTTGGAAGATACAACACAGGACATAGTTAACACCGAAACAACACTCGCAACAAAAGCATCGAAGGCGTGGAGATTTGCGGCAAAGCGCGGTTGCTTTTACTGGAATCCATTTACTTGCCGACTCTAATGGTGTCCAACAATTACGTGCTATCTTATCTGGCAGCTAATTAATGCAGTGGACATTTAAAGATGTGCGAAACATGTAGACAAAAATTTATCACTAAGACGTGTGCGCGCATTTGTGTACCTGTTCTTCATAGATTTTTAAATCGACGAGCCTGAATAAACTCAGAAAGCTGAATAGAGTTCTTTGCCCCTACCGTTTACATATCTCCTGTTCGAGGCATTCGGAGTGCGAAGTGCACCTCAGATTATTAAAAATGTAAGCAAAGTTGAACTTGAAAAGATGCCAAACTGAAACACTGGCGTGAACGTGCTTGCAGTAAGTGTTTTGCCCTGTCGGTTCGACCAGCATTCATTGCGCAAAGTGTCGGAATAGACGTCTTTCATGATCAATAAGGAGAAAATCAGTTTATTGCTCGTCCCAAAACTAAAATTAAATTTTGAGGGGTCGAAATATAGAGCCACGGTAGAGAATGCAATTTAATCCGTTGTGTCCAAGGTGTAACCTTGCCAACCTTGATGGTAAAAAAAAACAAATGCAGCAGGAGCATCTCTGTCCCAAGATGAAAACTATCCGATATGTTAGCTTGTGAGCTTCGGTTGAGGTGTTTTAGAGGAAGTAGCAGAAAGTGATGTCCAACAAAGGATGAAGAAGGCAGAAAACGGCAAAATATCAAATTCGCCTTCAGAAATTTGGACAATCTATCCTTTTGCGTACTGTGCACAAGATATGACCGAAACGGGGAGGCTGAGAAATCGGGATATGACTCGGAGATTTTAAAAATAGGCCCCTGTACCTTTTCAGTAGACCCATGGGAGAGAGTAAAGTTTTCTGAGACAAACAAAGTCTTCAGTAGAGGAATTTCAAACGTCGTGGACCAGCACCAGCAAGAGATTCGAATCTTAGCATTTTGAACTAAGCAGTATCTACCGGAAGTCTACATTCTTCAAGGGCGTTGTCAGTAGTCTGTGCGGCAAAAGCCAGCTTTAGTAGTCAGTCCGATACGTCAAAGAATGATGAAAAAAGGCGGCTGAGTTCGAAAGAACCGTCACCGGGAATCAAAAACAGATCTCACTCAATAAGATGATGACATAGCAAGGCGTGGCCAGGATTCCCAGGAGATCTCGAGAACGATCATGTGACACGGCGTAGGAAAGCGAAAGGAATTCGTACTAAAAAAATCTTTATGTAAGAGACGTCGGCTGCAGCAGTGAGCGAATCAGAACACTATAAGGCATATTTCCGGTTGTCGAGAGTAACAAAATCGAGACAAAAAACAGTGACTACGGAAAATAAAGTCGACAAAAGGACCTCCAATGAAGTAAAGAATATATTTCGCAGAGGACACGGGACAAAAAGATGCGAGAAGAACCTCAGAGACCTAAGAACCTTGGCGACGCAGCTGCCACCTGTGGCTTTGTCATACACCGGACAGGCAAACGCGAAACACGAAGGTGCAGGTGTAAAATGACTGTGCCGAGAATTCCTATTTCTGGTAAAAATAAACTACCACCGGAACCGGACGACAGTAACATTTACACCATACTACCATCAGCTAGGAAAACAGCTTGCAGTCAATCCGTCTGGCAAGTCTTTTGACGCTCTCTAAAATAAGGGAGCGCAAGTTGTTGGCCGAATAAAATTTTTAGGGAATCATAAAGATTTTCACATTAGTAAAAACGATTGAAGTGCAGGGATATTGGATCACATCGGCATTCTCGACCAGAAAGTGCTTTCGATTGCTTGCTAAGTGGCAGTTTATTTTGCTAATCCAAGTAAACTGGCTCCCGGTATGATGACAGGAACATTTGTTTTACATACCAGTTTTCTAAAAACAGGTTTGAGAATTTGGATTTTCTGGCATGGCTAAACATGCTTTCCTTCAGTGTCTTATGGATAACCGATAGATAAATGCTTACGTGAAAATCAGCCGGGGCATAAAATATCGATTGAGCACTACCAGCAAGCTTGAGTATAGTAAGTCAAGCTAATTGTTTTCCAGTGGCTAACAGATACCATAGGCCGCAAAGTGACCCGAAAAAAGTTTAAAACAAATGGCTTCAAAAAGGTAAAACAAAAAACATGATTGTGGCGGAGCCAAAATCTGCTTTCCACTTGATATTTTTCGAAATATGCAGTGTTAGGAAGGCCGTTGAGGGTAGTACGTAATTTGAAGTGGGTTTTTAACGGACTTGCGCATTCCAGTCATTAACGTACTGATTCATTCACCCACGAAAAAATCAACATAGGTGGCGCACACAAAATATGCTTAAGAGCAGTCGAGACTCGTCACACTCCCGACGTTGACTATCGAAATGATATGGTGATGTGCCAAAGTGCCGTTTTTGGCTTCCAGAACTTGCAGCTCTCAACTTATTTTAAGCGGAAGAATAGTCCCATCGGCAGCCCTTTATTCTAAAACAAAGGAGATCGCTCTTAGAGTGGGAGTTTCCCTTTTTAAAAAGAGACAGAAATCTGATTTCAGACCGAGATATTAAAACAAGCATAGGGTTGTAGGCAAGAAATTGACTAATACCGGAAGGAAATCTGAAAAATATGTATGAGACCTCGTTAAAAACTTAACGAAAAATGAAACCTAAACAGGATAACATCACATATGAAGCTGCAGTGCTACGGGACGCCGAAAGCGTAGAGGCTGGCCAAACTAACATTAGTGATAGTCGTTACAAGTAAGCAACGGCATTCGCGTATTCTACCACTTGTCAGGAAAAATACTTATCCGAATTTAATCGCAAAGCTAAAGCAAGACGTATTTTCATCTGTTAAAAGCATGCCGATGTCAGAAAACTCCTGTATTATGGCTAAATTTGAAGTCTGGATGGCTATTCCAGGCGAGGGAGAAATGATGAGAGAAATCTAAGTCAAAGCTTTTAGCCAGAACGTATTGGTTCCCACTTTAATCGCTCACATGTAGCACCGGCGATTGAGGACGTTACCGGGAACGGCAGATGACTTACGTATGATAAACTCAGTTTAACTAGCTTGGCTTTGGTTCTGGTGAAGCTGGTGTTGTAAACGTTTGGTCCTTATAAGTCAAAGTTTACCAGAGTGCCGAAGACGCTGATAGAATCGCGGTGCGTTCCTATCTAGTAGCCATAAAGAGCGGCAAATACGAACACCTTTAATTAAAGGAAAACAGTGAATAGAAACAGCAGCGAACGAGGCTGTTGCAGCTTAACAAAATTACAATAAGTGCGTGCTCCGGCTCGTCTTTGAGGGAATGAAAACGTTCACAAATGCACACCCAATGATTTTACGATCCGCCA